CGTAAACAAGGTAAAAGGGCAAAATAACACAAAATAAAAAAAATGAAATTCGGAGTCGGCCATAAATAGTAACCGACCCGTCAGAACGCAACCAAATATCAAACAAACATTCACATCTTGAACTTTAGCAATTACAATCCAAAGTGACATACAAAAGTTTCCAAAAGTTAATATATACACGGTTTGCCAAATGGAAAGTGAAAACGACCCTAAAGATACATTTAGGGTTTCACTTCAAATACAATACAAAAGAGATATACATCTAGTTCATTAGGCAACCATCTATCAAGATTCATTCCAAAAAGAGTCATATTCCTGTAAGGAAAACAAAAGGAACGGTGTGAGCTAATTGCCCAGTGAGATACTATCACTTATGCAACCAAGTGCATATAAGTATCAAACTTTCATTCAATATAGTAAAATAAGCAAAGGTACACGTCAAATATGGTGATAAAAGGATACGGATGGCTCTCAAGAGCCCTTTCCTCGTTTGCATTTCTTGATCGGACGTCATTGACTCTCCGTCAATGTTCAAAAGTAACCAACCGTAGACTCCACTTTACTCCCACTCCTTCCACCTAACATACCCCTACCGGGCCCGAAATCCAAACACTTGCACTTTGGTATTACTCGAGTATACCGGAATCGAGAGTCTCGCATACTACAAGATTCCATATAACTTTACCCAAGGTTCATTAATTGGCACGACCAAGCCCTCGCCGGCTCGATTCAATCAACTACCAATGGGGTTGAGCTCAATGATAACATTTGTAGTCGTTGGATACTCGTCCAATCAATTCACTTTCATTTCATTTCATGTAACATTCCAATAACATGACAACAATGATATAAGGCATATAAGTGAGAGTGATAAAGTACACTTTCACTTCAATCAAGTCACATTCAATTCACTTCAAACAATTTACATTCAAAGCCATATAGTAACATAGAAGTGAGTAGTACTCACCAAGGTCAGTGCAGATACCTCCCAACAGAGAGCTTTAATCACCAAGAAACCCTAAAATAATCCAAGGAAAACAATTGAAGGTTCCACTTTCAAAATCGAGTATACAGAATGCACATGTGAGGCTCGACTACCAGTCGTATGCCTCGCCAAATAATTACTTAAGCAAGGGTGCAAAACATGATTTTTGGTAACGAATAGGTAACATGAAGACCTAGGCTCAAACAACCCAAAAGCCCTTCGTTCAAATCACAAGTAAATCCAACTAGCCTTCAAGAAAAATTTCGGCAACATATCCCTTGTTTTTACCTATTTTCCAGCCATCACGGCTTCATTATGTCCTCAAATCAGTCCCAACATCTCGTACAAAATAATCTCATTCCCAAAAGCCGTTCACTAGGCTTAATGGCATTCAAGTACCAAATTTAGCTAGGAAATGACCGGATATGGAAGTCAAGCCCTAAACTAGTCAAATAAATACAAGAAGACTCGATTATAAGTCATAAACCAATTCTACATACTACCAAAATAGGGTCCCCTAAGCATACACAAACAATAGAGGAAACCAGAAAATTCGGAAATGCAATTAGCTTTGGCCCTGAAAAAAACAGTTTTTGTCTTCATTTTGCGGTAATGGCACCAATTTCACTACGATTATCGGATGAAGGTGCAAGACCCACTGTTTCGAAGCTAAGAGATAGGGCTACAACATTACAGAAGGTCACTCAACCCAGTTTCGAGTGTAACCAGGTCAAAAATGCAAGATACCATACCAGAATCATAAAAACAGATTCACAGAACGCATTCTAGTGGAAACATCATAAATCAGGCTATCCAAGTCCAAATCCAGAAATTCCAAAACCAGCTGAAATCTAAGAAACAGGGTTAAATTTCATCAGAAGACCTCAACCACCAATTCGGAAGCAATTCCAGCCAAAACAACCAATTACAGGCGTAATTCTTACATTCGGGTAAAACCAGAACAGCAATAGTAATTTCGACTTTTCTCATTCTACACTACTCCGATTGACCTGAAATTTTGTAGGCGCCTCTAAAATATCATTCCCTACAACTTTTATGTTTTAATCCAAGGCCAATTCGGCCTCTAAATAGGAGCTACAAATTCGGGCAGAATGTTCCTTCACAAAACCTAATTTTCTGAAATTTCTTCCAAAACAGAAATTGATTGCAATTGTCCACTTTTTCCACCTTCTAGAATCATTATATACCATTTCCAATCATCATAGATATCCACACAACCATGCTTATATTAAAACAGAAAAATCCCCAAAAATAATAAAACTTCATCACTTCAACCACAAATCAAGAAATAATCCATAATATTGCATCTCATACTACCACTAAGCATGATTTAAGCATCAATTAAGGGAGGAGGGTGGTTCTTCACAACTTACCTTAAAAACAAGAGAGAGAGAGAGCAATTGGTCACCTTAACTTTCCAAAAAACTTCACACAACAACTCACAAACACTTCCTTAAGTGGTTTTATGGAGAAATTGCAAGGTTGGATGGTTGGTTTTGATGATTTGGAGCAAGCTTGAAGAGTTTTCTTCCTTGTGCTTGGAGTAAGAGAGAGAGAAAGAGAGAAAGAGAGGGCCGGCCACTTCTTGATGTTTTTTGAAGATTTTTGGTCATTTTTAAGCTATTTTAACCAAATTGGTAAAAGGGTGAATAGTGTTCAAAAAGGTCAAACCAGTCCTATGGTGACACTTGTCACCTTTTATTAAATGCTCACCTACCTTGTCTCTCTTATATCAATCCACTTAGCACCCTCTACTTATCTCTTAACACCCGGTAAATTAATTCCAGTATTCAAAACTTAACCTAGTTGACCGAATTTTTCCGAACTTTTTGCACTAGTGGGTCCCACGTCCGGTATATGCTCTTAATGTCTCAAAACCTATTCGATACTAGAAAAATCATCTAAAATTATATCTGCTCCTTAAAAGTATCTAAACATTTTTCCTAATCACGAAAATGCAGAAAACAAGCCACGGAAAATAATAAAACCGAGAAAATGGGAAAAATGCGGGTTCTCACACTCGCAACTCCGCCTGCAGACTGGTCAGCGTACCAAAGCACTCTGAGTACCCGAACGCAAAGTCCCCATTGCAATCCCGCACCAGCCCACCCCCTCCACTCACACCCGGGTTTCCCCGAGAGCACCCATATGAGTTCAACTTCCTTCCACCCTGTGGCGGCACCCAACGCACAGGCCGAGCGACCCACCTCCCTCGTCGGCTCACCACCTCACGTAGCAAACCATCCCACGAAGCATCCGACCACTGCCATCTCGGGAAGCGAGCCTGCAAGAGCTCACTTAGCAACTGGACGATCTGGTTCACCACATCCCTGCTCCACATCTGCTGGCCTTCAAACTTACCCCTATTCCTCGCCTTCCATAATTCCCAGCAATCACCGACTGTAGTATCCGAAACAAGTACTTGAAAAACACATTGGCCCCTCTCCTCAACCACTTTCCCCAGGAAGAATCTCAAAATGGTGCCAAACTAGCCTCGCTCCCTCCCCTGAGCAAAACACATGTTCTATCCTCTCCTCCTGAGGGTCCCAGCAACACCAACATCGAGACAGGCCACATTGTCCAAACCTCACCAGGTTGTCCATGGTCGGTAGCCTGCCCTGCAATAGCCTCAACATAAAGAAAGACATCTTAACGGGGAGTCCCGGCTGCCATACAGAGGCAGAAATCCATGAACGGTTATCTACCCGGCGGATGAGACAATAGGCTGAGGACGTGGAGAAGGTGCCAGATGACGTAGGAGCCCAATCCATCCGATCTAGCCCCCGAAAAAAAAGGGAGCAGCCTGGAGAACCCTCCCAACCAACCCAGTATCCAAGTACTGATGCAGCAAAGCACCATTCCAGGCCCCCCCGTCAACAAAATTCGTGACCGAATAATTATAGAAGACCTCCACTTTGCCACTTAGCACCCCAGATCCCAACCAGTTGTCATGCCAAAAATTCATCAATCCCTGACGTACGATCCAACTGATGTTGTCCTCCGCTACCTGCTGCACTGCTACCATCCTCTTCCACGTAGGAAAGCACCACTAACTGTCCTCTGCCAAGCATGGGTGCAGACCCGCACAATATTTCCTGGGCATGAAATCTGCCCATAGCGACTGCTACTGTCGAAACTTCCACCAGAGCTTAATCGAGAACGCATCATGAACTCCCTTCAAGCTCCGCAAACCAACCTCTCCCTCCTCCTGCGGCCTGCACAAATCCTTCCATCGAAACCAGTGGTACTTGGAGCCAAAGTCTGATGACCCCCATAAGAATTCTACAAACAGTCTCTCCAAGGCTACCAGCACCCCCCGTGGAGGGGACGAAGCCGCTAGCAGGTGCATCGGCATTGAGACTAATACGCTTTGAATCAACACCACTCTGCCTCCATTGGATAAAAGCTTATTCCTCCAAGATAGAATATGAGCTGCAACGACATTGTACATATCTGCAAAGTAGACCTTCTTTCTCCTGCCAACGTACAGCGGGCATCCAAGATAACGTACCGGGAAAGCCCGCTTTTGGAAGCCAAGGATCTGACCAATCGCTGCCGCTCGCTGTGACGGAAACTCTGGGTAAGTCAAGAAACAACTTTTCTGGGAATTAATACGCTGCCCTGAAGCCAGACTATACTCATCCAGCACCTGCTTGAGCCGGACAAGCGAGGATCTCCCTCTACTACAGAAGATGAAAACGTCATCGGCGTACGCCAAGTGCGTGATAACCGGGCACCGAATAGGGACTTTGAACGGGGTGAACTGTCGCTGTGTAACCAGTGCATTTAGGGCTCGAGACAACACTTCCGCTCCAATAACAAACAGGGCCGGCGAAATGGGATCCCCCTGCTGGAGCCCTCGAGTCGACTTAAAGAAACCGTGTGAAGCCCTATTCACTAGGACAGAGAACCACACATTAGAGACTAGACGCCATACCATGTCTATCCAAGTCTCGGAGAACCTAAAGCGATGAAGCACCTGCAACAGAAAAGGCTATGAGACCCTATCATAGGCTTTCATCATATCTAACTTAATCACTACATTCCTTCCCCGATTAGGCTTCGTGATACCAATCAACAGCTCCTGGGCCAGCAAAAAATTATCCGCAATCTGTCTCTCTTGCACAAACCCGCTCTGCTGTGGGAAAATGAGTTGAGGCAGCAGCTTTGCCAACCTCCCCGCTAACAACTTCGATATGATCTTGTTGGCAAAATTACACAGGCTGATTGGCCGAAATTGAGTAAAGTCCTGAGGATTGTCCACCTTCGGTAACAGCACGATCAACGTAGCCGTGATACTCCTAGGAATGTCTTCCCCACAGAAGAAACTCACCACTGCCTGATAAACATTCACGGCGATCACCTCCCAGGCGACGGTGAAGAACTTCCCTGCGAACCCATCGGGGCCCGCTGCACTCTCCTCATTCAGGGCAAAGACTATACCCTTGACTTCTTCCAGCAATGGTATCTCGGTTAGCATTACGTTGTCCTGGGCAGTGACTAATTCTGGCACGAGGTCCATAATTTGCTGGGGCGACGGATCACTGTCTGCCATGAACAGCTCTTGGAAGAACCTCACGGCAGCCTCTCCTATCTGTACCTCCTCCTCTATCCACTCCCCATCTGTTCCCCGCACCCGATGAATCACAGCCCGATGCCTTCTTTCGGCCACCACTGAGTGGAAGAATTTAGAGTTTCTATCCCCATCTCGAAGCCACCTCACCCGTGCCTTCTGCTGCCAGAAGCTTTCCTCGATGTTCAGGGCGTACCGCAGTCTTGCCCGAGCATGGTGTAAGTCACTCCGCAGTAGCTCCATCGTATCCAGATCATACCGAGTCTCTGCCTCCATCACTTCCCGTTCTGCACTCCTAGCTACTTCGAAAATATCCCCAAACGAAACCTTCGACCATTGCCTCAATGCCGTTTTAACGGCCCGCAGCTTCAATGCCAATAGCTGCATAGGCGACCCACTTACTGGCTGTGCCCAGCATCCTCTAACCACCTCCAGGAAATCCTTATGCGTAGTCCAGAAGTTCAGGAATCGGAATGGCCTGGGCTTGTCGTCCAGACATGTAACCACCGATAACAGCAGCGGCGAGTGATCCGACGGGTCCCGCCCCAAGTGCTGAACCGTGACCTGGTGTCGTAGCTCCAGAGCCACCCCATTCATCAACAACCTATCGAAAAGCTTCCAGATTCGTGCCGCGCCTGAGCGGTTGTAACACCAGGTAAACCTCGAGCCAGAGAAACCTGCATCCTCCACCCCTGCCTCTGCCATAAACTGCAAGAAATTCAGGCCTTCGAAAGACCGAAAAGGCAAGCCTCCCCTCTTTTCCCTCTCACTGGTAATCACATTAAAATCCCCCACCATAAACCACGGAGCCGAAGCCGACTTATCTCTTAATAAATCACTCCACAGTACCTATCGCTCCTGAGCAGTACAGTTCGCATGAATACCAAACAAAATAGTGGGAGAAGGAAATAAATGTGAATGGACCTGTACCGTTAAGTGTTGGGTTGACTCCCCTATACAAGCACAAGTAAACATAGAGCGGTAAAACAACCAGACAGTCCCCTCTTGATTAGTCATGCCCCACTCCATCCCTAATTTCATTCTAATGTCCGTAAAATTTTGCACACTCGTCTTAGGTTCTACAACTACTACCAACTGTATGGAATGTAATTTAATAAGTTTCTTCAACCGTTTCAAATTAGGAGGCCGAGCCACCCCACGTATATTCCAAAAGAGCATCTTAATCATGGGATAGTACAGACAAAGCATTTTTTGAAGCATTAACCATGGAGCGTAAGGTTCTATCCGAGGAAGCTCCAGCGCGGAGACCTCGGGCCCGTACCTTAGAGAGTCTCCCTTGTCCGGCATCTTCCTGAGCAAGGCTATCCAAGAGCACCACCGGGTCCAAATTCAACGCCTCCAACTGCGAGACCTCCCCAAGAGCTTGTACCCCTTGGTCACCACCCCTGGGGGACAAGTTGCCCGCCCTTCGCTGAACATCCTGAAGCTCCGCCGCCTTCACCTCTTCCTCCGATGTCCGTACCGACCACACGTCAGCGTGCTCCGCTCCATCCTCCCCCTGCAGCCCAGCACTCAAACAGTCCTCACCGCGCGGCGCTCCTACCACACTCCCCGCACCCTGCTTCTCCAACTCCGCCACTGGAGTTGCCACAGCCCGACACTGACCATGGGCGTTGTGCTGCTCCCCCCCACAATCTGTCTCTTCACTCGGCAACTTCTCCCTCTGCTGCAGCGTATCTGCCGAATGCGTTTGAACTGTCACAAAGCCCTCCTCCTCCCTATCCTCGCTTCTGTCCTCCTCCGCCAGTCGACGTTCTGCCTCCACGATACGTGAGCAAAGTGAGGGTATTACTATTTTAAAGTAGTGGCAAAGTGAGAGGAAGGAAGAGTTATCTATTTTTTCAAAATCAACCAACGAATCAAGGCACCAATTTAAATGACAATTAATTACTAGAGATTAAAAAAAAACTTAATCTAATAAATTATCAATCCAAGCATGCATGAAGAATTAAGGAGCCAATGGGAATCTTAATGATAAAAGCAATAAAGATTCTTAGGGACTTAAATGAGAAAATTAAAAATTTTTGTGGCAAAAGTATGAATTTTTGAAAAAACAGGGGCTAAAATGTAAATACTAAAAAATGATTTTTTTACCACCCTATTATTCAAAATATAACCATATTTGAACTAATCAACCACCAAAAATGATTTTGAGCCATCAAACCAAAAACTATTTGCATTAATTTCTAAAGTTGTCAAATTGAAAATCTAAACTTAACAAATTTATTTTAACCCCAATTATACTTAAAAATCCAGAATTAAGTCACCCAAAACATACATAAAATATTAAAGAAAAAGAGAGATCGTTACTTTAAAAGGAAGAAATTAATTCATTTTCACAATTTTTGGGCCTTAGTATAATTATGAAAAAATTAGGGAGCTAAATTATAAATATTTATTATGGACCTAGATGAGAATAAGCTACTATAAGAATACAACAAATTTTCCAAAAAAAAAAAAAAGAAAATTAAAGAGTGCTTAAACTATACACAATGTCAAAAATTACACATTAAAAGAAAATTGAAGATGAGGAAAAGCTTTAGTGCATAGACAAATTTGAGCATTTGGGCTAAACTTCCTGGCCCAAACTAAAATTAGCAGATAACCCAACACAAATCACATGAACAAATTGAAGTTAAAATAAAGATTAGCCCACACTCTCCAAACATCATTATCCAAAGCCCAACTTAAAAGAACAAACTTATTCTTGCATCAAGCCCAAAAGGAAAACAAAGCAATTTATGGAAAATAGAAAGAAGAGGGAAAACAGGAAGAACAAGAGAATTTTGCATTTGGCCAGGTTTACTATTTGTGACCAGAATTTGGAAAATATTCCGACCGCATGGTCGGAACTCTTGCCGGAAAAAAATCAAAGACTTTTAACATCAAATTTTGACATGAATATGATCCTAACAACATTATGAAGGCATCTGAAACATCAAACAAGATCCCTAAATGCCATAAAACATGCAAAATAGCATCTAAAGTTCAAAACCACAACGTTAACTTCAACCTCGTGTTGTTCCTTAAAACCAAACAAAGGTCCATGGAAATTGCATGATCAGATTACTAAGATGGTAAGGAGCAAAACTTGTAAAAATCATAGATCCAGAATGTCCCAAAAAGATCTACCATTTCCAACCCAAAAAGGAGCCACAAGGGAAGTTTCTCTAATCAAACATGAATTTATTCTCCATTAAATGAAAGAAAAATGGTAGATGAACTTACTTGAATGTTTTAGTCGAAAATGATCCAAAACATACGAACTTTGAAGCAACAGATTCGACTCCAAGTTCCAAGGATTTTGGACACCAAGATTGATTTTTCCTCAACTTTGACATCAAATTTGATGGCTTTATAGTTGTTTTCTCACAAAACTTTCTGCATGAAATTCTTCTACTACATCTCTAGAGTATGCAAAAAAACAATCGACCAATAGAAGCTAAAATGAAGGAGAAAAGTGTGTCCAAATAGGGCTGTTCGATCAGCCCTGTTTTCCTGGTTTGCAAAAAAAAAATTTCTTCTTTTCTCTCTCTTTTTTGCTTTTAATCTCTCTCTAACGTCTGAAAATAATGAGTATCTCCTACCTAAACCCTAAAACATCTCTTATTAATGTATTTATATGAACCCATGCCAAGAAACAAAACCCTAAAACCCTAGAAATAGTGGTTAGGATGAATTTTCTAGAAAAATGATAAGGTGTTTCTTTTCAAACCTTTGGATAAATTATATTAGATATTAAAGGATAAGATTTGAATGTGGTGAGCTGTCTTCGTACCAACAAAGCCTTGGGAAAAAAGAAAGAGAAGAAGAAGAAGAAAAAATTGTGCAAAGAAAAAGTCACCTCCAGTACACTCTTTGTATTGGATTTTGTTGCCAAATTGGAGAAGAAATGCACACCTGCAATGCAAGAGCGCGTGAGGAGCTCCATTTCTTTTTTTTGGAAAGGAAATGAAATGGGCCAACGGGCATTTTTACTTTCAGGTTTTTATTTTCTTTTGCATAGGTTTTGGCTTGGGCTTCAGTTGGGTTTTGAGTGGGTTCATTTTGGAGTTTAGGATTAGGGTTTTGAGGTGGACTTAATGTTGGTTATTGGGTTAAAGCAAAAGAAAAACCTCTCCTATTTTCCCTATTTTCTTTTCCTTTTTTTTTCTATCTCTTTTTTCTTTTTCACAGAAACCCACAAAACAAAAATTAATATGGTTAATTAAGCAAAAAAAAATTTGGAAAATAACTAAAAAAAAGTAGTAGACTTGGGACAAAAAAATTGGTGTCTACAACCGTGAACTCTTGCCTTTATACTTAGGTGCTCGTATTGATGCCTTATCTCAAGCCACTTCCAATAAATCCAAACTCAAATGCGGTTCTTCATCATTTTGCTCTATATTGAGGTTCTCAGTCCTCAAACTGGGTTGCCCAACATCAACTAGAATAACTACCTCTACACTAAAAATAAGAAAGAAGGGAGTGTCTTGAATGCCAATTCAAGGAGTGATGCAATATGCCCATAAAATCTTAGGTAGCATATCAACTCATAATCCCTTGGTACTTTTTACTTTCTTCTTTAGGGCCTCCAAGATGACTTTATTGGTGAGTTCTGCTTGACTACTTCCTTGAGGGTCCCTACTAAGGTAAAATGTTGTTGAATCCTAAGTGCCTGGCACCAGGACTTGAAGGAATCCTTTGAAAACTATTTATAGCTTTTAGATACGAGCACGTGAGTGATCCCAAATCTACATGCTATGTTCTTCTAAAAGAATTTTTGTACTACTTTCCCAATTATGGTAGTTAACAATTCTATTTCCACCCATTTGATAAAGTAGTCAATTGCTATAATCAAAAACTGAAAGCCCACAAATGCCTTAGGAAAAAAAATCTAGCAAATCAAATTTCCATTGCACAAATGGCTTCGGGCTTGCCATAGGGATCATGTCACTTGGTGGTGCATGCATGAGATTAGCAATAAATTGATAGGTTGCACATTTTCTCACCAATTCTTTTGCACCTTTGTAGATGGTAGGCCAATAATAACCAATCAAGATGCACTCCTTCATGAGTGTCCTTGTGCTTGGGTAATTCCCATAAATTCCTTCATGAATCTCACAAAGGACATAGTTGCTCTCCTCTTCCATGATACATTTGAGCCAAAGCATCAAATATGACTTGTGATATAGCTAGGCATTATGGAGCATGCATTAATTTGAACTTAACTTGATCTTTTGGTCATCACCCTTCTTATATGGAAGTTCTCCACTCACCAAATATTTGAAAATTGGAGCCATTCATGATCCTTCCATATTGATTAGTTCCACCTAGGCAAGTCTTCAGCTCCTTTTTCGTTGAAGTTCTACCATGACCTCTTTGTCCAGGTCATAGAATATTTTTGACAAGGTATCTGCTTGTTTGTTCTGAGTTCAAGGAACTCTCTGGATACTGCAGCTTTTAAATTGGGCTTGTAGCTTCTTCACTACCTCTAAATATTGCTTCATGAGCTCCTCCTTAGATTCGTAATCCTCGCTAACCTAGCTGACAATTAGCTGGGAATCACTATTGATGATGATGTACTCTACACCCACCTGGCAAGCCAATCTAAGTCCTATGAGCAAAGTCTCATATTATACCTTTTTATTAGAGATCTAAAAATCAAACCTTAGTACATATGTGAGTTCTTCACCTTCCGGGCTTATCAATACAAGCCCTATACCATAGTCATTAGTGTTGGCTACACCATCAATACATAGTGGATCAGTGGAATTGCCCAATTTTGAGGGGGATTA